TTACTTAAAAATACTTCTGGTTCTGTTTAAATAAATATTTGATTTTGTAGTGAGATAATTTTGATAATCACCATGTTTTTTTACAACAATTGTTTTTAATAACAATTCTATGGAACTTTGTTTCTGCCACAATTCTTTTTAGGTGTCCAGAAAACTTCAGGTTATTGCTTCAAAACTTATTCTTGTTGTCTTTACATTTTGACTTACTCACAAGTAACTTAAGTTTCAAATAAATTTGACGTTATTAGTTTATCCAGTGTTTAGCATTTGGTTCAAGAGTTTCTTTCCAAAAGGTTCATTGATATTTCATTATTTTTATTATAACTGTAATAATTTTTTCCCCCTGATCTGTTCCTTCAGCCTTTTTGCATTCAGTCCACTTGTTCGATACATTTCGATTATATTGATTTAACACGTTTGCATTAAACAGGTGTACTGTGTTAATCTGAGGCTTGTTTTAATTGTGGTGGAGGAGGTGGAGAACTGCTGTGAACCTGAAGATGAGGCGTCTGTCAAGAAAGAAAGCGCTGAGCCTGGTGAAGGAGCTGGACGCCTTCCCCAAAGTGTCAGAGAGCTACGTGGAGACATCGGCGTCAGGAGGAACAGGTGAGATGTCCCTGCGAGGACAAGACAGCAGGAGCAGCAAAAGGGAGGAGTAACACTCTCTGCTCATCTGTCTCCTCCACAGTGTCACTTTTAGCGTTTAGTGCCATGGCACTTCTGGCTGTCTTAGAGTTCTTTGTTTATCGAGAGACTTGGATGAAGTATGAATATTCGGTCGACAAGGATTTTTCCAGGTGAGATGTTATTACTAGGTTATTAAATGTTAATTAATTGTGACTTCAGTCTGTTTTTCTTTTTTACAGTATGATGTCACGGTAATCTTTTTATCCTGATTTCAGTAAATTGAGAATAAACATTGACATAACAGTCGCCATGAAATGCCAGCGTGAGTATCCCACCTTGTTTGCCGTTGTCAATGTGGAGAAGTTGCTACCTGAAGCGCTTACATCACATTAGCGCACATATTTCAACTCTGATTGTAGATGTGGGAGCAGATATTCTGGACCTGGCTGAAACCATGATCACATCTAATGGCCTGCAGTATGAACCTGTGAGTCAAGCATGTGTCTGAAAAACCTTAAGGTCATTTCTGAGGTGTCGCTTCTGTAAAGCAAACGCTCCTGTTTGTGTCTTTGAGCAGGTTATTTTTGAGCTGACCCCGCAACAAAGACTGTGGCAAAGGTAAGGTTTTGTGCAGTTGCGCAGTAAGTTTGAAAAAATACAAAATTCTGGTAATGCCTAAAATTTGGTTATCAAGTTATAATAAATTTCTTGTTGTTTGAAAGCTTTTAAACTTGTTTAGCTAGTTCTGCAGTCTGTTTGTTTTCCAGGACGCTGCTTCTCATACAGAACAGGCTGAGAGAGGAGCACGCTCTGCAGGAAGTCCTTTACAAAACTCTCCTGAAAGGAGCTCCTACTGCTCTGCCACCACGGTCAGTCTCCTATGGGAAATAGTTTTTAATAATCACGTCTCCATTCATTTTACAAAAAGGCAAACACATAAGTGCCCATACATTAGAGTCTGTTATAATAAAATGATGTGCTCAAACATTATGTGCGTAGGGAGGATGCCTCCATGGAGCCCCTCAATGCCTGCAGGATACATGGACACGTCTACGTCAACAAGGTAGCAGGAAACCTGCACATCACTGTTGGAAAGTAAGAACCTCTGTAGCGTAATAAGCATGAGACAAACATTTCTGATGCTGGAGACTAATAGTGATTCTTGGTCTTTTTAAGGCCCATTCACCATCCTCAGGGCCATGCACACATTGCAGCTTTTGTGAGCCACGAGAGTAAGTTAAAATCTGGTTTTCTAATAACACTTCTAATTACACACTTTTATAATCTACAAGCAGACCAGGGAACATTATCTGTCACCATAATCGGTACTCCCCTCAGCTCTCCCTTTTTCTGCATTCAGCAATAAATACTGAGGAAGGCCGTGGCATTTAAACAATGTTTAGACGGTACTAAGGGACTCAAAGCGTGCCAAGAAAATATCCCATTACATTACCAACAGCAGCCTGATTTGATAAAAGGCAGTATGGATCCATGCTTTCATGTTGTTTGTGCCAAACTGTGAGCTGAATATTGCAGCAGAAATTGAAATTCCAGGTCTGGTGAGCCTGTGTGAGTCGTAGCCTTAGTTTCCAGTTGACAGGAAGTGGCACCTGATGTGGTCTTTTGCTGCTGTAGCCCATCTGCTTTATGATCTGCTTTATGATTTAACATGTTGCACATTCAGAGATCCTCTTCTGCAGTTTTTGGTTGTAACTGCAACCAAAATGACCAGAGTTATTTGAAGGAAATGACCAGAGTTATTTGTGCTCTGGTCATTTCCTTCTGAGAACTGGCTCAAACTACTTATTTTCTAGTTTTGGGAACATTCTTGAGATGGTTGTGTGGGAAAACCCGAGTCGATCGGCAGGTTCTGGAATACTCAGATCAACTTAAATCACATTTCTTCCATATTCTGATTTGAACATCAGCAGGTCATCTCGAGCGTGTCTACATGCTCCCATGTGATTGGCTGTTTAGATATTTGCATTTACAAGCAGTTGAACAGCTGTACCTCAAAAAGTGGCTGTGAGTGTATTAAACATTGTTCTTACACATTTAATAGGGAATAATTTAACAAAAAACCCTGAAAACATTAAAGATGTCAAATATGTGAGCCAGATTTAATGGCATTGGAGAAAAAAAAAAGTGTTTTTCTGTTACTAAAAGAGACCAAAGTTGGCCAGATGAGAGCCTTAGGAAATCGAGCTTATAAGGTCCTGCTACTAGTTAGAATGATTGTCCACAGCCTTGATTGAATCTGAGGGTTCTCTCATCTTTGCATTACAGCGTACAATTTCTCCCATCGAATCGACCATTTATCTTTTGGGGAGGAGTTACCAGGCGTCATCAATCCTCTGGACGGCACAGAGAAAATCACCTATAACAGTAAGTCACATGATTTCAGAGGATAAAACATGCAGGAAACATTTGGATTTTCCATTGAATGAATGAGTGCATTTTTTTTTTCATAAAACCCTCAATTATTCTTTCCTGTGTGCTTGCATCCCAGATAACCAGATGTTTCAGTACTTCATTACAGTGGTGCCCACGAAACTGAACACATACAAGATATCTGCAGACACACACCAGTTCTCTGTGACTGAGCGAGTGAGTAGCCGCTAAGCGCAGAGCTTTAAACACAGCCCAATGTTGTGACAGCAAGTAGACTAACCACCACAATGTCTGCTGCCAAGGAACGGGTGATAAACCACGCCGCGGGCAGTCACGGTGTTTCCGGCATCTTCGTCAAGTACGACACCAGCTCTCTGATGGTGACGGTCAGCGAGCAGCATATGCCGCTCTGGCAATTCCTGGTGCGACTGTGTGGTATAATCGGGGGCATATTCTCCACCACAGGCGAGTGGGCTTGGACATTTAGAGCAAAACAATTAAATATGGTTCTAGCTTTGAATTCATGCAGTTATTTTATTCATTTTTTTTTTTTTTTACTGTGCTCTTCTCACTTTTAAGGGATGCTTCACGGGCTCGTTGGCTTCTGTTTTGATGTCATCTGCTGCCGCTTCAAACTGGGACTCTACAGGCCCGGAGAGGTGCTAAACCAGGACGCACAGCTGCACCAGATGAATAATCTGAACCACCACCATACTCCTCTGCTGGCTGACAATCCCCCTCGGTAGTAGCCGCCGATTCCTCGGCCTGCACGGGTGACCAGACAAATAATGATCACAGTTGCTGCTTTCTCATCAGAAACTTGAGTTCGGATTTTCAGATATTTGTTTATTTATTAGAGTTTATAAAGGTTTTTCATTGCCAGCATTACCGTACTGTATATCACAAAATGTTTTTCTTCCAAATGACCAAAAAAAAAAAAAATAGTAGAGTTAGCACTAACTATTGCACTGTAGGAGAATGTGTACCCTGTGACTCTGGTCACATTTGATAACGGTGATGCTGACAGTTATGTTAAAGTTTAAATTCCCAGGAGGTCATTAGCACCGCTGGTTTGTTTCACAGCATTAAAGTGTAAAAAAAGAAGCCCAAAACAAATAAAAGTTGATTCCTAAATGAAATAACATGCAGATGGTTTTTAAACAGGTAAACCATGAAATGATGGCAGTCAGGTTCGAGAAGGATGACTGAGCAAGTGTCATGTTGCCTATTAAGCCATCCTCTATACGGATGACTTATTTTATTTGACTTATTTCAATAAGTCAAGAATGTCTTTAGCAGGTCTACCACATGACATGAGTCTTTATTTAACAAAAATTGAGCCAGTGTGTCACTAAATAGACCCTTACTGCTTCCAGGAGCTGCTAATCAAACCTGCTTGATTAACTGATCATCAGCCAGCTGGCTTGGTCAGAACTGAAGTGGTTCCAGGAAAAATATCTTTCGATTTTCATTTTCTCCTCTGTAACCATGAACGAGTGAGCTGGAAGGCGAGCATGAAAGACTGCAGCACATGTGCACCTTTACTCTTCGAGTTTATTTCAGTTTTGCCAAGCAGACTTGAAAGTGTTGTCAGAGCAGGGAATACAGGCGGTCGGACGTTTTGCAAATGACACCAGAAGAAACATGAAGTCATTGGTTAAGTGATGCCGTTTGTTACATAAAGTAACAGTAGCTCCAGTCTGGGGTTTATGGTACCAACAGTGCTCTGCGTTTGAAAGAAAGAAAAAAAAGAAAAGAAGAAAGAAGACAAGACAGACACACAGAAGAGCAAAACTCCATACTGACAACATCATTAATATAGCCCTGTAGCTCTTTGAGAACAATCTGATGCAACTGCTTCATCGTGCAGGCCTTGTACGACGTTTCGGGTCTAAAATTAAGAGGACGGTTATCATGATTTCACCAGACATGGGCTTTGCATAAACATTTAGTTTTGTCCCTTTTTCTCCCATAAAGACTCATCATTGTTAAGTATTTTTAATTCTGTCAAGAGTAATGCCTTGCAACATATACAATACTGTACACAGCTGTCTCATTCTTTCAGTAAAAATCATACCAGCCGGTCACACTTTTGGTAGACTCTGTGGGAAGCTCTGTGAAGACACTCAACCAAAATAAATCAACAGTCAAATAAAAGTTTTTGGTAATCTATAAGAATAATATGCAAGCATCTATTTACAGATATTCCAAATATGCAGAAAGGATGTAATGCCAGTAGAGTTTTAACGTGTTCCCAGCCCTTTACTTGGGACTTTTTAAATCTGGACTCATATCTCATGGCTCTGTCTTGGTCCAGTTATCTAGTTTTTACTCAATTTAGGAAGAATCATTTGAAACTGGGTCATGAACTTTCACACATATATGCAGATGCAGCTGCAGATGCAGCTGCAACTCTGATTGCTCAGTGCCCTGCCCCTTTAAGACGATGAAGCTGAAGTACTCTGGCATAGGGGATACAATGCCAGCTTAGATTGTAATTTAACCAGTACTTTTAAATGAATTATTCTGCAGAAGCCTCATATTCACACTGTATGGGATTTAAAAGTACCTCACGAGTCTTTAGATATCTTAGTCTGCGTCCAGAAATCAGAAGAGAAAAGAGCCTTAATCTGCACAGGTGTGAGCCTTTTTTTTTTTTTTTTTTTTTTTTTTAAACTGCAAGCTGTTGGACATCCCAGCAACTACTTCTTTCCATTTTCTTTGGATCTACTGAAGTTGTAGTGTGTGTCTCTTATGCACTAACATAATGTTAAAATCACAGTGGTAAAAATCTTTTTTTAAACAATTTTCCAGCAGTGTTTGAAAAACCAGGGCTCGAGATATAACAACTGTATTTATAGGAACCTCAAAATCGGACATTGTCTTCTGAACAATTTGACCCATTTCCCCAAAATTGTTTGGTTTGGTAAATAAAAGTGCACTCTGTTGTGCAGCAGGCAATAATTTCATCCAGACAGTTTATATTTTTAGTGGTACCTAATGGGTACTGCCAACTCAAATTTCACTCATGTTTACCACTGTGACAAGGCTGGTGAGGTCTCCTCAGGATTTCAGGTGACCTGACTTTCTATGCAATTAAACTGCCCTCTCCAACCCCACGCTGTAAGGCGTGGCATTCCTCAGGGCTCAGTACAAGGCCCACTTATTTTCTTTCATCTTCCATTGGATCATTTTAAATATGCATTATTAAATGGATCAGTTTGTCGTAGCAGTCCATTTCTCCATTCTGTGAGGTGAGGCATCTCTTATGGCTTTGTATTTAGTGTTTTAGGAAGAATTACTTGAAATCGGGGCATGACTTTTCACTCATATGCAGATGACACTTTACTCTGATCACTAAATCATAATTAATATCTCAGGAGCACTGAAAACATCTCTGGATAAGTTGAATGGGTACCACTGCTCAAATATAACTCATGTTTACCACTCTGACTTCCTACTACACCAAACTGCCCTCTCCAACTTCACTTTATAAGGTGAAGCATCCCTCAGGGCTCAGTAATAGACCCACTTTTTTTCCTTTTTAACCTCCACTGTGTTGTGCACTTGCAACAAGGGCATGAATTCAGGCTCCTTTGCTGCAGGTAGCTGCAATGGTCTTCAACTCTCATCTTCTATACTATGAGGCATTGAACCATTTTAACTGAATCACTCGCTCCTGCTTTGCCTGTGAAATATCTTTCCCTAACGTGCTAACCTTTTGGGGAGTTGTCTTCTTACAAAGTTTGCTTAGAAACTGTTGGGAAACAATGTGCAGTATATACTGGGCTATACAAATAAAGTTCACTCTGATTTACTCTTATTTATAAATTCTACACAGCCAAGGTCTACCACATATAGTCGGACTAGCCTTTGGCGCAGGTATAAAGATGTAAAAGTAGTAAACTTAGTTTCAGTACAAACTGCTGTACAAACAGGCAAAAAAGTGGATGAGCATTCAAACAAGACGCACGGACATCAACATCTGTGGTCATAAATAAGTGATAACTGTAACAACAGGAAAGGTGGCATCTGTATTTGTAGCCATAGGTGACTCAGCTTGAGTTTAGCTTTAATACTATTCTTAATATACTTCAGATGGGTATTAAGATGGAAAACCACCGGTGAGTTTTTTTGGGGATGTTAAAAAGGCAGTAGATGCACTCATTGCAAAGACATACAGATATCGGAATCACCCGTGTATTAAAGACAAGAACTGGAGATCCCCACAGTAAAAAAACAAAACCGAAAAACAAAACTGAAAAAAAAAAAGAAAAAACCCATGAACTACAATGATCTCATAGAAATTTTCCTCCAATGATGCAGTGCCAGTATTATTCAAGTATGAAAAAAAAGTACTTACAAGGCAAGGCGATGTATTGAGATTTAAGAGGGTGGAAAAGAAAATGGAAATCACACGAAAGGCTTATTGTTGCATATATAATTGGCCACTTTGAGACGAAAACAGTAGGTACAAAATGAATGACAACACTTTTCTTTTTGGACGGGGTTGGAGATTGAAGAGTGCACAAACCGATGACAGATATCCAAACTGAATGCTTAATTCATGGCTAGTAGACCTCATTTTTCCCCTCTTCTTCACATAACTGCCACCCCCACGTGTGCAGAGCCCCGCTTGTCCACATTAAGAAGGATTTAGAGTGTCCACAGTGGATGTTTTCCTCCTGCTGACAGCTAAAGGCGAGGGCTGCTGACTCTGGCTTGAGGCGGTGAGGAAGACTCAAATGGTTAAGGTGCTGGATGCACGGAAGTAGGAGAGGAACTTGAAACAGAGGCTGACCACAAAGTACCAGATGTTTCTGGCCATCTGGGAGCGGGCGATAAACACCCTCCAGATGAAAACGATCAGCAGGGTGTTGAAGGTGTAGCGAATGTTTCTCAGTCTGGAAGAAGACAAGAGGGAAGCAGATTAAAGACTTAACATACAAGTTCTTAAAAAGCTTAAAGATGTAAATGAGATGATAAACAAGGAAGCTTGTGCATATGTTTTCCTAATTAATTATCACAGTGAAATTCTTCCAAAAATAGAATGATAACTGGTGGGGAAACACATACTTGAATCCTGTACTTTTAAAGGCTTGTTGACTTACTTTCTCAGGTGCTGCCTGGCAGCAGGAATGTCAGACATGTCTTCGTTCAGGACATACTTCTTGGTGCCGATGCAGTAGTTCTCAATGTACTCGGGCCAGTTCAGCTGGCGCACATCAAAGTTAAATGTCTGCAAATAAGATGGCAGAAGTTGAAAATGCTGAAAATAGAAACTGAAAATAAAAAAGCTGCTATTTTTGTGACTAAAAGTGCATGTTCACAAGTGTTTTCTGTCTTGAGCTCTGTTGCAGTTGTGCATGATGTGCTCAGCTCATTTACTTATTTACAAGTAGAAATACCATTATGTACTGAGAAGGTCATGGATTCATTTTTGGAGTCAGTGTTATCTATAAAATTTAGGCTCCATGTGCGGCTGCAAAAAGGAGAATTTTTATGGAAGCTTCTTTCTGCAACTAGGTTTTTTTTTGTTTTTTTTTAATCAATCCATAAAGTCAAAGTTTTGGGTTATTATCTCAAAATGTTTAGGTAATGAGAAGTTCAATTTGTGAGATAATAACTTGAAATTTCGATTAAGCCCCGACTGTTTTTTCCCCCTCAGTTTCACAAACTAAACTTTATTTTTACAGTATGCTTCTTTCAAGGTATAAAACTAATAAAGTAAAACATTAATATTAATCCAAGCATAATTAAAAACAAGCATGCAAGTTAAAAACCCATTAAGACAACTTCCCCATCCGCTGCAAAAGTAATAAAGTAAAATAAAATTATGAAGACCAAAAAGTTTAAACCAATAAAATAACTAGATGGTGAGGTAAGTTCTGAATATTATTATTCAACACCTGCATCTTTATGTGACCCTAAAAGGTGTATTATTGGTCCAAAATTTGCACCACGTACATGGTTAACCCTACCTTCCTGTCCTCAGGGGTTAGCTGGCCCATCAGCATGCTCATGTTCTCAGAGTTCCACTCCCAGTCCTGGCTGCTGAAATACTCCAGCAGGCGGATGGCCTTGTGCAGGCGATTGAAGATGCGCATCATCCTACAAAGACGGAGGAGGTGCAGATTACAACAGGCACAAATTGATTTCTCTTTAGGCTAAAAGTGGGATTAGAAGGAAGCTGGTCTTACTGCGGCTTCTGCCCGGAGAGGCGCAGGAAGAGGTCGTAGATGAAAGCGGGGAACTTGTGGCTGACCAGGATCCAGTACTGGTTTATCAGGTAGTTGGAGGTGATGTTGGCGTTGGGTCTTCGGAAAGCCTGCTCCAAGGGGTTTCTCTTAAAAGAGGACATCACGTGGTGCTCTGCAAATCGAGATAATTGAGGAGGATTAGTCTCAGTGCCGTATTCACCTCTGAGCAGGAAACAAAAACAGCAGGAAACTGGTTACATTAATGAATGTTTATGCACCACCAGGAAGTGACCCGAGTTTCTTTAAAAAAAAATTATTAATATAATGGTGACAGAAACTCAAGGCCCCTTGATTTGTGGCGGCGATCTGAATATTCGCCTGCGGCCGGATTTAGATAGCTCTAATAGAAGAATGCCGGAATCAAGTACTTTGTATAAAAGAGTCTCTGCGCTTTTTGAAGAGGTAGGACGTAAGACGTATGGAGAAATCGTTTCCCTACATGGAGAGATTATTCTCATTACTCAGCTCCACATTCCCTTTACATGACGTTTGGAAAAGATAGGGATAAAATCCAATCATGTGAGATGGGTACAATAGACATAAGTGACCATGAACCACTGTATCTGACAATTGATTTAAACGTATACCCCAAAACATCAACTTGAAACTTGAACTCATCTTTGCTTAAAGATGTAACATTTAAGAAGTAATGAAAGAACTCAAAGATTACCTTGAAATAAATAATAACGGAGAAGTGTCACCTCCAATACTATGGGATGCATTAAAAGCTAAGAGGGAAGATCATAGCATTCGCCTCTTTTCAGAAAAAAAGCAGACACAGGACGATATACGCAGAACTCTTCACGTAATAAATCAGATACAAACATCTAAAAGTAAAGCCATGCTTATGAATATCGATGCGGAAAAAGCTTTTGACTCTGTAAATTGGGACTTTCTTTACAAAGTCTTGACCAAATTTGGCTTACATAATAGAATTATTGATACGGTGAAGGCATTATATACTAACCCTACTGCAAGAACTTTTATTCCCATTATACTTAGAACCTCTGGCACAATCAGACAAAACAAAGACATCAAGGGAACAAACATTAAAGAACAGGAACATAAGCTTGCTTGCTATGCAGATGACATATTAATATACCTAGAACAGCCCACAAGCTCCCTACCTGGACTGATGAATCTATGCCAAAAATTTGGGAAACTTTCTGGGTATAAAATTAATATGACCAAAACTCAAATACTTAACTATAACTATAGCCCCCCCAGCTCACTTGGTTGCTCAATAGAGTTGTCATACCTAAAGACTTAACTAAATTATTTGAGGAGAATTTTGGTTCCCTGCAAAAGAGAATAGTAGATGATATCAAACGATGGGACATGATTCCCTTTCTAACTTTATTCTCACGAATTGAATCAAAATGAATATTCTGCCGAGATTACTATATTTATTCCAAACACTACCAATACAAATTGATCAAAGCCAATTTAACGAACGGGACAAAATTATATGGGGAAGGAAGAGACCAAGGGTTTGTTTTTAAAACTTTACAATTACAAAAAAAGACAGGAGGATGGGGCTGCCGTCACTAAAAACAAAAAACTATTTTCGGGCTGCTCAGTTGAAGACTGATTAACTGGTGTGATATAAGCTATAAAGCACATTGGAAAAATATTGAGGAGAGCATGTTTTCTTTTCCAATACAAGCTGTCCTGATGGACTTAAACATTCAAAAATATATAGACAAGGTCTACAACCCTTGGGTGAAATGTACACTTAATGTATGGAGAAATGTTGTGAGGGAATTTAAATTGGAACAGGACTTGGCTTTATTTAAATGCATGCGTATGACTCTGATTTTGTCCCAAATAAATTGGACTCACGTTTTAAAAGTTGGTCTGCTAAAGGATTACCTACATTTGATAGTCTGATTAAAGATGGGAACTTAATAAGTTTTGATACATTGAAACAAAAATACAATCTGGAAAAGCAGGATTTTTATTGATACTTGCAAATAAGACATTATATAAAGACAACAATCAGAGTGGCGTCGAACACTAATGTAGATTTGATAGCTATGCTTAAAAAGGCATATAATGGCAACGTCAATAAAAAACACTTCCTTTTTGTATACATTTCTTACAAATAAGCTTTCTCACTCAACTGAATATGTGAAGATATTATGGGAGAAGGAGGACTCAAATATGGGAACGTGGAATCCACTTCCTCACGAAGATGGAGGGAATTTGGATGGAAAACTATGATAATTTTTTTTACTTGCTAGTTGCAAGTAAAAAAATGTATAACAAAGAAATGGCTATTACAAGATGTACCAACTTTATCATTGTGGTGGGAAATAACACTAGAGATTTATAGGATGGAGGAGTTAACAGCATAATGTGAATAACAGAGTAAGTTGGTTTTTGTCGTGCTGGGATAAGTGGGTCCAATACACTAATATACATAAGCGAATTTAATTCTCAAATTTTAAAATCAATAATCTGGCAACTGGTCGCTCCCGATTGTTCAGTGTTTCTCTTTTGTTTGGTATTTTGCAAATTGTGTTAATCAATGCCTGTAACCAGCATCGTAAACTGTAAAACTCAGAAAACAAAACAAAAAAGACAGCAGGAAACTTTTGGACTGTGTATTTTAATTCAGTTTCAGGTCAGACTGAGGTTTAAGTAGGAGAGGGTTTATTTCCAGTTTACAGTTGCATGCACTTCTCCAGCATCCTTTACTTTAATGAGCCTTCTCATTAAAGAATTGCCAGGAAAAGGGTTCTTAACTCTATTCATTCATCCCTCCCATTTTAATAATTAATTTGTACATTTGTTTCATGAATTATTAGTTTACTTTCTGACTGCTTTTACACTTTGTTTTTAATTTCTGGCAGTCTTGGTCCTCCATATTCGAGCTCTATGTTTCAAATGGAAGCGTGCTTTTCAGAGGTAAACAAAGAAAATAAAAGGTCCTGTGAGGACAGGGTTTTAATACAAGGATCAAGACTTCCAGAAACTCAGCTGGCCTTAATCATGGCATGACCCTGTTTCCTCTGGAGGATATCAGGCAGAAAGTGACCATTCAATGATTTCCCCACTGGGCAGCGTGGGTGGCTGCTCCTCTTCCTCCTCTCAGCATCCAGCGGCGGCCAGCGGCAGGAAGCAGCCATGTGACCACAGACATTACATCACATGGCATGCAAATGAGGCCTTGTAAGGTTTGTTTCCATGACAACAATAATGTAGTGGTTCCAGGGACCGAGATGACCAGATCCGAGGTGACAGCCAGCTGTGGCCTGGCTCCCTGCAGCCTGGTTGGAAGCACCGTGGCAAACACTGAGCTGCTCTCAGAAACCTGGGACACTTGTGATATAAATATTTAAAAAAAAAAACAAAAAACTGAGCTGCACTGGAGTACTTCTTTTCTTAATGTCATATTTATCTAAAAAAAACAAACAAACAAAAAAAACTGTTTTCTCTGAGGGGATGTCCAGTGTTACTGGGGCTCTTCTGATCCTCTTGTTTTAAATTGGCTTCATTTCTAGCTCTCTTCTGGCCCAGTGAGAGTGCAGAGTCCACACTTCCTCTTTCATAACGCGATGAGTCGCAGTGATCAGACCTAATCCCGCCACGAGCCATCTGGTCACGATTTCCTTGGTGAAGAGAGCGTGCTTGTTAATCTGAGGGTCACTCGACATCCTGCCGGCCGGATATCCACACCCAGAGGGCAACGATGTGAGTTTTTTTTACTCTTCACATGGAATCCAAGCAGATGCAGTCATTTAGATAATCTTTTTCCTAAATTCTGTTAATTCATTTTGAGACATAGACTGTTAAAATAATCGTTAACAAAAATCAACTAGAAAGTATAAAATAAAACACTTTAATCCGCCTTCAGACACTAAATGTGTTTACTTTTCAAACATATTGCAAACAAGCTTTAAGATTAGCCTGCATCATTCACTCGCCACCAAATCCATCAAAAACTTAATTTTCTGCTTCTTGCCAGCAGGTGGCAGACTCCCTCCTCTTGAAGCCTCCACCACAAACATCACAACTACATCACAGACACATTATGTCACAACACCCGAGTATTGATTTATGACGAGGAAAGCGAACACAGACGACAGTGTTGCGGGATGCTGGCAGGCAGACAAAAACAGCTCTATAAATATCCGCCTGCAGTGACAGGTTTGTGTTACCGCACAGCAAAGAGAGTACCTACCGATCTCTCCCCAGTGAAAAGGGTTGATGCCGCCGGTCGTGCAGTTGTACACCAGGGCCGTTTTAGGTCTGCAAAGTGTGGAAGATGAAGGTCATAATGATGTCTGTAGAAGGCATTTGGTGTATAATTCCTGCTTATCTGTTTGTGTGGTGAAACTGTGCTGATATAAAAGGCTGATCTTATATTTAAAACTGTTATTCACCAGTGTTTTTAACCCTTACAGTGCAGGAGTCAGCACATAAAATAAGTACATAAGCCTGGTATTGCACAACATTACAAATGCCTGTACATTACAAAATTTGAGAGGTTAAGTGTTTTCATCAGCCTCTCTTAGCAGTCTGAAATGGGTGTGGATGCCGCATATTTTCTCTGCACTCTGTTTCCCGTATGGAAAATCTGACCCTCTGAGTTTTGGTAAGACTGCAGCGAAGCAATGAGTCAGACACTCCCTGGGAAAAACATCTGGCACGGCGTGGAAATGACACACTTGAGTTTACTAGTGTCTTCTTGTTAGTGCCAAAATAAATTTGGTAAGAATCAACAGAAAAATATTTGAAAATCTGGCATTTAACTGATTTTCCCAGACCATTCTGGATTTTTTGTGACAAGTTCTCAGTGCAATTGTTCTCTTCACATCAGGGCCAGGTTTAGATTTACACTTAAAGCTTCTTTTATCACCTCAGGCTGTTATAAAAGTACTGAAGTATTACCGTTACTCTGACGCTCACTAACAAGACACACAGGAAGACCGCGACAACAGGTTTGTGTTGGGCTGCTGGTGGAAATAGCTGCACAAAGAATGTATGCAACTCTATTTTTAGAGTCACTGTTAAAGCATCTATCCAGGTGCTTGTGCCTGAACTATATTTGGTGTTCATAGAGTATTACCCCCACTCATAACAGATGTCTTCTGTCCATGTCACAGTTTACCGAGGCCAAGTAAAACAGAGTAACCTGGGAGATTTACTCTATATACAGACGTACGACATATTCGGACATAAAAATATGCAGAATATCTAGAAAAGGGACAAGAGATTGGGTTTCTGAAGCTTTCTAGCTTCTGCTTTGACTGGCCAAACTTGCCTGAGCAGGCAAGCAGCTATTGTCATATGATCATAACTTTAAGTTTATTTGCTTGTTTTGCCTTTTGTATTGAGCCCAAACATCTGCAGGTTACAGCAGAAATCCCCACAAGTTGGCCGTTGTCCCTATACCTAAAGTGCGCTTGGAAACTACAAGTTTTTAATGGAAAGCCCTCAACGTATGCATTATGGCAAATGTAGGATATTTTAAGTTTAGGGACTGAGTTTTGGGGTTTGTTTACTCACCTGTGTACAGCAGTGTACCAGCCAGCAGCCAGAGTGAGGCTGATGACCACATCCACAGGGATCAGATCTGCCACCGCATCGTTGTTGGCCCTCATGGTGCGCAGGATACCCTTTCCCGCCTTATCACAGGATGACATCATCTTAAAACTCCAAATCTTGCCACTGCAACCAAGAGCTTTGAGATTCAAGGGTAACATGTCTTACTTACAGCTATAAAGACGCCGCTTGGCCCGTTGAAGTTGTCGATCCAACCCTGAGGCATGAAACGGAGAAGAAAAGAAAAACAGCAATGAGACTGAATCAACATTAATTGATTAATTCCAACAGCAGCACACGTGTGGTTGTGTTTCTGTGCGCTAAAGCAGCTGTTCGGGGTTATGTTACTTCCTGCGGTGGGAGAACAGAGAAGCGGGGGATTGTCGGCTTCAATTAGAAACCATTAAAAATGGATGAAATCACTGGTAATAGACTGCAACAGTCTCTAATGTGCGGGGCTGTGGATTCAGAGCTAAGCCTTATCCTCGCTCTAATAATATGTTCTGGTGCAGATAAGGTGCACAGAAGAAGAGCAGGCCACTGGGGCCAGGGGTGTTTTTAGCGTGGCGATCGGCTGTCGGCTTCACGCCAAGCTGAAGACGGAGATGCAGCTTTTATTTTGCACAGCGTGTTGGGTTAAATGGGACATTTCTAAAAGCACAGACTCCCAGAATGACAGGCGCATACTGGGGTTATAAATGTACACAACACATCGACACAAACACGCACTGCCCATCCCCCACCCGCCTCACAGCGCCTGCTGGCACGGGCTGCCAAGGCGATTGCAGGGCCAAGTGTGAGTAAGGTCTTTTGAAGAGTTGCTGCCAGGCCGAGTTTAAAACTGCAGGCAGAGCCAGAAGCTACCAACAGTCCCACTGCACAAACACAAGACCTACATTTCCTGGCTCCACATAAACAAGGACTTTCCTGTGTTGGTCTGGTATTTGTTTTCTTTTCATGCTGCATCATCTCTTCAGAGCTAGTCCTTCAGATGAACTCATGTTTTTTAATTAAGAAGAATCTGAATCGGCTGTTAGATTTCTGCTGAACATCTCTTTGAATAATCGATACATTTATGTCATCATCACGAGTCTAAGGCTTTTTCTGCAGTCATCAGCCTTGAGTGATATATTTATAGCTTTAACGAGGAGTCACTCAGCAAAAAATATATATAAAAAAATAAAATGAAATGAGAGAATAAGTAAATATCTTATAAAAAATGAATAATTATTGGCAAGTTTAAAGTTTAACTCTTTCCATGCAAAATCACATAATTTAAATTAAATATTTACTGAGAAGCAATCTCGCTCACGCTGATTAGTCTGGTGCAAGTTTTCATATAAAGAAATCCACCAGAGACTGACAGCAATAATGCACTCTTCAGCTTTCATGTTTGGGTCCTTAGCGAAGCAGCCTTCAGTCCACAGCCTCCGATTTGCCCTTCTGTCCTTGACGTCCGCCCAAACTCTCCCATCCCAGCAGCTGTTTGGCTTGATGAAAGGTGACTCGGGTGGAAAACGCCGGTCTTTAGCACCGACACTAGCCAATTTGCTTTAATCCAGGGCCACTTAAGATAAAAGCCACAGGAGAGCAGCACTGACCCGGGCAGGATTAGGTTGATCAATATCTTATTTCAATTTGTGTCAGGAGGACACATAATGAGGGGAGGGATTCTAGAAAAACTAGTCCGCGTCATTCATGGGTGTCCAACATGCACCTACAAAGAAACAACCAAGTCAAAAAAGGGGGCACGTTCTGAGCAGAAAATGAGCCAGCGATGAAATAGGAAAGCAAACGACTTGCACTCTGCGAGGATCCAAGCACTACAGCTCTTAATCACGACATGCATCACAGACTGTATAGAAAAGATGCAAGCAGAAAAAAAAAATGGTCTGAATTTCTAGTTTTGACTCTTGTTTGTGTTCATTTTAAAACACTATGGTTCCTTTATGAAAAATGACCAATGACGACATCTGGTACACAATCCTTTAAGCCTGTTTTTATTAATCAAAGTAAGCATAAGCATGAAGGTGGCCCTACTAACTCGGCAAATCACGTCAAATAAGGATCGTACAACCATCGCAAGAGAAATGGCTGAAAATAAAGAGTGGAATATATGTTACGGAGCAATTAACTCATAAGACTTTGAGGAACAGTGTCGAGAGAAAAGGACCATGTGTAGGTGTCAATGATTGGGTGAGAACTGAAATGTTGATGTCACAAGATCAAACTGTAGAGATTAAGCTATCAGACAATTAATTTGTTGCTTTGTTTTATTTCAATTTTTTTTATGTGATTAAAATGTAGGTGTTCACAACCCAATGACTGACATCAGTCGCTACCATCCATCGTTTTTGTACACGTCTTTACAAAAACTATGTCCTATATGTCTTTGACATATAGGCTCGTGAAATTCTTTCACAAAGACGTGAGCCATAGTGGGCGTGTCAGTTCTCTCTCAGCAAGATTAAAACTAGAAAAGGTCATGGAACTTTGTCAATACTTAAAAAAAGAACATATATAAGTGTAATTATGCAAAAGTAGCTTATTTCTAAAGAGAGCAAAGTATTCAGTGAACTCACAGGAAAGGGCTCTTGCCAACTGGCTCCCACTATGGAGGGTCTGATGATGCCAATGTTGAGCTTGTCTTGCTCCTGCTGCACCACGTACTCAGCCAGGGCTTTGGTGTAGGTGTACGTGTTGGGCCTGTCGCCGATGAGCCGTGGCGTTATGTCCCGCACGATGCCATCGTCCATCCACCTGAAGCCAGAGACATAAAGCTTCAGCACTAAGCACCCATTTACAACATAATTGAGCACTTATTTTGGTGCAGTCTGAGATTTATTATGATAAAAACAATTTTTAAAAACATAGGTAGCAGGTTTGTTTTGCAGAAGAACATTAGAAGGTACAGGTTTATGAAAAAGCAATTTACAGTCCCCAGGTCATGTACGCTTACCACATTTAGACCAGCATTTTAACTCTTTACCCTGTGAATGCTGTAAAGGTCGTCATGTTGTCTTTATGGGAAAAGGAGTTAACCCCTTAGCAGTCCTATTAGTCCCCTAAACCATCCAATGTCCCGTGGGCGGTACGTCCGACTGCTAACAGTTTAAGGCGACTTCACCTATAAGCACTGCCAAATAAATGCATGAAATAAAATGAAACGGAAACACTCCATTAGGCAATGTTCTCAAAGTTAAACCAAACCTCTGGTCCTTACACTTGAGCTGATGACAAATCTATGTAGGACGTGGCATTTAAGCTGCTTTAGTCACCCTGCAAGCCGCTATCGACCCATCTCAACCCTAGCACTTCCTTTTCATGCCGTTTCAGACATTAGTGTAATATCTGCTGTCTTTTATCATTAGTTATGCATCTCTGCCTCCCCCCCTCCCCCACAGTGTCTCTTTTGTCCCGTCTTCCTCCCCTCATGCCCAACCAGTCACGGCAGATGACCACCCCTCCGTGAGCCTGGTTCTGCTGGAAGTTTCTTCCTGTTAAAGGGGAGTTTTTTATTCCCACTTTTGCCACATGCTTGCTCATAAGGGGTCACCTGATTGTTGGGGTTTTCTCTGTATCAAATAAAACACCTTGAGGTAACTGTAGTTGTCCTTTGTTGCTATATGAATCAAATTGAAATTACTGTGACCTTTGATATGTAGGGAGAGTCTTTGTTACTGCTCTCCAAATGCACGTGGAGGTGTTAGTCCTGGACTACATTATGAATATGAACAGTTTAAAAGCAAAGAAAACCTCCTTTCACACGGAAAGGTGTGCATGTTGCCCAACTTTTGCAATAACTTCCATGGCGCAATCTGACAATAAAGCGCTTTTTTCGACAGCCAGTTGGCCAAATGTGTGCACAGGTGTGAAAACAGGCAGATAATCATGAAATTCGTGTCTCCACATTCCTGCTTTTATCCCAGTCCAGGTTCACTGCTGAATGTAAGTGAATGGATGAGATCTGTGTTGGTATCGTGCCCAGGGTGGTTTAGGCCCAGCTGGATGTGTTGTGAATGACTGCATTGTTTGTTCGTTCCTCGTAATTACTGGGCTTGATTCTGACACACTCGCCAAGTGAGCATCCTTTTCTGGGTGATGCAATCGTTTATCCACTCACTATTTATTGATCTTTTGAGCGAACCTTGTTACAATCCCTTGTTTGGGAGGCCCTGTCGCGGTCTCTCCCTTGGTTGCAGCTGTTGCACAAATATGCAACTTCTCTTTTTCTTTGGGATTAATTTCCACATCACATGAATTAACCCCAAGTGGAAGTATTTCTGTGACACTGGTGAACAAAAACATCATCCACTCACTCAAGGGAGTCTATGAGTTTCTTGGGCTCGACGGGCGGCGGGTAGATGACCTCATCAATGTGCTTGCGATTGCAGTTTGCATAGGCGGTGGAGATGTGAATGAAGGCCTCGAGGTGATGCATCTGCTGGGCCAGGCTGAGGAGCTGCTGTGTGGCGATCACGTTGAGCTGCAGGGCGTGTCTGCGGGAGAGGAGAGAGAGATTCATACGGTGTTAAAAAGACTGCACGTCTCTGGGAGTGTGTGTATGTAGATGTGGGAGGAAAGGTCGTGCAAATGAGTCTGTGTGGGAGGGAAAAGTTTGTGTGTGCGTGCTCAGGTTCAGTGTGTGCAGGGAAAGTCGGTGTGTGTGTGTGTGTGTGTTCGTGTTTGCTAGACTACTACTATCTTTGTATTTGCATGTATAAGCGTTTGTTTGCTGATGACTGAGTGTACCATTCAAATATGAATTTGCAAAGGAGCAGGAATTTGCAAAAAAATTCAAGCCGGAGCAGAGTGACATGGCGGGATAGAGAGGCATGAAATCAAACAGAGGAGAGGGAGAGAGAACAAGACTAAATGAGAAGGAGGGGGAAAAAAAAATGTATTAGCCTCATCATTTTCGCTCTTTTCATCTTGTAGTACCAGTCATAAAGCCAAGACTGAGCATTACAGCATCTACTGCGGCTCTGAATCGATGCAGAGAACGGTCCTAAACAATGCACGCTAGGGCTGTTCGATATAACGATATATATCGGATGACAATATAAAAACTTCTATCGTTTCATTTTACGCTATCATTTGTTTCATGGTGTCGCAAAATAAACTCTGTGTGGCAATATTTTTTTTCATCGTTTTGATGGTCACTGTAGTGGCTATATTAATTTCTTAAAGTTCTCTCTTTCTCTTATATTTAATATAACCACACTACCGATGGACAAGCACCTGTTTTTATGTTGTAGTTAGCAACAACGACGGTAACACCATCGCCTGTCCGCTTGTTTATGTTCCACATAAACCTTTCACAATAAAGCTCAAGATCCTGTTGAGACTTTTCAAAGTAAACTGAATTACGTGAAAGAGCAGATTAGGATGAGAAGTAAAAAAGAGCCATCAGGTGCTAAAAAATAAACCTAAGACTCAAACTTTAGAACAGGCTTTTCCCTGCAGCACGCTGTGTAATAGAAAACTGTGGCCGTTACAACTTATGTCTAAAAATATAGTTTCATGCATCTGTTAAAACACTGGACTCCAGCTACATGACTCGCAGCTGGAAACGCTTCCCGCAAGTCGAGCTGCCCGAGATTCACAGAATTTACAGAAAATGTTACATTTTTGTGATTTATATCGTTATCGGACGACAGAATTCTTATATCGGGATATGAGATTTTGGTCATATCGCACAGCCCTAATGCACGCCGCTTTACAACTGCAAAATCTGGCAAAGTGATAACCCGTTGCTCCTTCTTTTGTTGACTTTCTCTTCTTAAACACAGAGACTATAACCTTATAAATGAGGCAGCAGCATTTCACCTCAAGAGTCCAAAAGCAGAAACATTTTTTAAAAAAAGTGTTTCTCTGAAGACAGAAAAATCCCAAGGACCACAAAATGAGAACAAATAGATTAATGAAGTTATTAATTACATGATAGTTTAAGAGATTAAATTCCCCCTCCCAATTTAAACCATTGATAAAGTAGAAAATAAACATAAGTAGGGCCTAGCTGGCCATTTATTTATACAAGTCTAATAGATACTGGTCTTATAATGATGAGACAAGTGTTGTAATTAGCAATCCTCTGACTCTATACTGTCTAAAGCTGTTACAGCCTCCTCTTTCTGCTCTCCCTGCAGGGTTCCCTCCTGCAGGAGGCAGTGAGGCTTGTCAGGAGAATACTGGCTCACCTGTGTAGGCCTCCACATAAGCAGCCAGCCACTCATGACACCATGGCACATCTCATTCATCACCACTCTTACCCTGACTTCTCACGCCTCATGTTTATCGCTGCCATCATCTTCATTCTGCCAATGAAATCTATAATTGGCGTCCTCACCTGTCTTGCGTCACCTCTATAAAAAGACTCCATCTCTGGTGAAAGGAAGCACGTGTATCCGACTCAAACTTATGCAAGAATAATCAAGGTGCTGGCCTTTATCGTTTTAAAAATGTTTTCTTAAAGAGATGACAACAACAAAATCCTAACTGCCAGAAGAAGAAGAAACAAAAACAACTCAACCCACATGTGATTGATAATCCTCCTGTAGGCCACCCACACAACACATTTCACTTTATAAACCTCAGCCCTCAGCTGTGGATGTGCGTCAGCTCTGCAGCAGAACCACAACAACATACAGAGTCCATTTTGCCTAGAGCAAAGACGAGAAACGCTGTGGTCAGTTTCAACAGACACTGCATGATTCTCCGGCTCAGCGTGGGTGTCGATCACGGGAGAACCGAGAGGCAGAAAGCTGTGGGCGAACGGTCCAGTGGCACGAATCAGGTGCGGTCAGGCTGTTGGCAGCGGCAGGACGATGAAGACTGCGGTGGCGATCACCCGGTGAGCTTTTGAGTGCTGTGGGGGCGTGTCATCGCCCCTCCATCTTCTGGGACCATATGCAGGGCGTCACGCCAGCGGGACTGCAGAGGGAAGATGGAGGCACCACTGCGCCCCTTCCTGCTCCTGACTCATCACCCATCTGTCTTTGCAGTTATGACTCAGATGCAACAACTACAGACCAGTATAGGCACTCATCAGAAACTACTAGCTATTGAGATCTGCTGACTGTGGAGGCCCTTTGAGTACAGCGTTCAAGACACTGAAGATGGTCCAATGTGGTCATAAAGCGATGGACATGGTCAGCGACAATACTCAGGCAGGCTGTGGTGTTTGAAGAGTGAATAACTGGTGCTATGGGTCCAAAGTGCCGAATGATTCATGCTCTCATGTTGTTTACAACAAATTCTTATCCTAACACCTGAATGTTGCTGCTCAGACGCTTCTTCTATTGTCCCAGTTTTCGTAGGCCAGTGTGAATTGTAGACCCAGTTTCCTGTCCTTAGCTGACAGGAGTGGCACACTGTATGGTCTTCTGCTGCTGTAGCAGCAGGGTTCAATGCGTTTTGTGTTCCGAGATGCTATTCTGCATATTTGGTGGTTATTCGAGTTACTATTTCCTTCCTATCCGCTTGAAGCAGTCTGACCAGTCTCCTCTGTCATCAACAAAGCTTTCACAAAGCTCACTGGATGTTATCTGTTTCAGAGAGTTCTCTGTAACGGTCACGGTCCTTTAGAGAAAAGCTCGAGTTAGCAAACACAAGAAACTCCCAGCTGCTGATTTTTACTCATATGAAGCCACCGAGGTTATAAGACTTCAAAGTAATAATCTTAGAATAAAATCACTTTAAGGGTTTTTGTAGAATTTGTTTATCGGATAATTTTCCTAAATTTCAAGAGTCGTTTAATATCTGCTTAATGCTTAGACTGCCCCAAGTATTATTATTACTACTGTAGTACTTCTCTGAAGCACAGAACTGTGTATTGATAAAGTGACAGATCGATGAATGAATATTAAATCACTAGCAGCTCTAATATTAACACTCAGTGCTGCTTTCTTCTTTAAAAAGGCCACTTCACCCCAAAAATCAAACATATATTTTCTTCTTATGGCTTTCTTGCAAGTTCATTTAAAAAGGAAGCAAGCAAGCAGCTACCTGACATTGTAGTTCAGCCGAGGGGAGGATACCATGAATGTTTACATCCTGTCACAGCTCATTACGAAGAAGAACCTCTACCCAAGGGTAGAGGGGCACTTGTTTCTGCACAGTTCCTGGTAACCAGGTCATGATTTCTAGAAATTTTAACCCACTGCGCAGAACATTATAGGGTGAAAATCCCTCTTTACTCACAGATTACCTTAGTTTGATCAATCTTATGATAAATAGAAATAAGTTTCAAGTTAAAACCAGCAATGATCCTTTAAGTGTGGATAAAGACTTGCACAGGATGAAGACCAGCTGAGGTGTCGGGCTGAAAAGCCCTGGACTGACTCTCGAGCCTTAAGCAGACTCTTCTGATTTATGGCCTCTGCACTGCTTACAAGGCTGCCGGTCACCAGACAAGAGTAATGACTCTGAGATGACAAAAAGGGGAGGCGTGAGTAAAAAAACCCAGTGAAGTCATATGAAGAAATAAAAGAAGAGAGAAGATAAAGGCCACTGAGAGAGAGAAAGATACAGAGACAGAGAAGTCACATCAGGACACAGAGAGACACTAAAGCACTAAGAGATCGATATGAATCGGTGTGCAGCTCAGTGCAGTGCAGCAGTCCTAACTGAGCTGTCACTCAAACTGGCCCGCCTCTGAACACCCATCTTCAGGGAGCTTTTAAAGAGCAGCACTACACCACGTCAGACAAATGATCTACCTCCACTCATCCATGCACACGGAGGCTGCAAACACACTGAAGGGGCGGCCTCACTCGCTTATCTTGGGAGGAATTTCCCTGCTTAAAAGAAGCTAAAACTGAAGATCTAATCTATGAATACCGGGATCATCACGTGGGGTCAACATGTGTGTAATCAGACTTACAAAATCCCAAAAATGCAGTGCAACTGAAAGTGTCCAGACACAAGCTATAAGCAGGAATGCCAATCATTCTTCTCTTTCCGGTTTCTCGGCTCATCCGTTTCACTCTGCAGATAATTTTTTACATGAAGGATCCAGTGCAGTCCAGGCTGGGCATTTGTACAGCAAGACAAAGAAAGATGCACACCATGTTTGTATATTTTTACACAAGCTTGCAGGCTCAGGCACAGTCTATACAAATGGCTTCCCTGCCGCCTCCCAGCTATGACCAACTGACCTCAGACCAGACCTCACCGGCCTAGGCTGCCGGGGGCTTCCCATAATGGACTGTTTCTTCTTCACTCCCTCTGTGTTTATACAGGACTCTGGATTTAATCATTAGATATTATTAATCTCTGGCTCTCAGACACAGTGAGTCTTTTGTCCGGTCTTCCTCCCATCACCCTATAACCAGTCACGACAGATGGCCGCTGCTTCCTGAGCCTGATTCTTTCAGATGTTTCTTCCTGTTAAAAGGAAGTTTTTCCTTCCAACTTTTGCCAAGTGCTTGCTCATACTGGGTCGTCTCATTGTTGGGGTTTTCTCTGTATTATTGTCGGGTCTTTTGGTAAACAGGATTCGAACATTATAGGACGGATCGTTGTTGCTTATGTCAGGAAGTTACAGGTATGACTAGTCGGAGGAGAACATCAACACATTATCTAAAGGAGCACAACATAACGAGGTCATCACAGTGCTCACATCAGAATTCAACAACTCTACATTCAGCAAAGCTCCTCATAGACCAGTAACGAGCGAGACGTCCTCACTGGGACGTTGGAGCCTCTGAAGACATCACAATCAATCCAGACTGACCGGCTATCTTAATACCGACTCAACACTGACTGAATCGCATCCTACCAACACTCCCTGAGTAAAATAGGAACCATCTATTTTCTTATAGGTGGTTTTACAAACTCGTAGAAACGGTTGATTTCTCCACACCCTCATCCTGCTCCACTTCCTCTTTGCGTCACGTCAATGAAACATTACCGTCATGCTCATTGAATTGCACATCCTCTGGAGTGCACCCTCACAACAGCAAGTTCCTGCTACAAGCAACATTTACTCAGCAATAAAGACACCTTGCATAAAGTGGAACAGGATTGTAATGAGGTGTAATAATGAAACAAAGCAGCAGGAGTCTGTGTGTTCATTGTGTTGGAAAATTAAAAAAAAAAAAAAAAAAATGGATGAAATGCACGTGGTCCTCACTTGAGCGGCTCATCGAAGCGGATGGTGGCGGCGCAGTGGAAGACGATGTTGATGCAGGTGGTGAGCTTCTCCACATCCTCTGGGCTGATGGCCAGGCCCGGCTGCGTCAGCTCGCTGCTGATTGGGATGATCTTCTGGTGGAAATCGGGGTTTTCCTCCCTCACACGGTCGAAAAGCTGCCAGACAAAACAGAAATCACTAAAGGAAAGACTTTTATGTCTTAGCTAATTCATCAGCAGCGTTCAAATAATCGAACATTTAAATGCCATATACATTTTTCTTAAACTTGAAGAAGGCTGTGCTTTCTCGTAAGATGTGGACATTGGCATTGCATTGATGCTGTGTACGAAGTGAGCTGTATAAATAAACTTTGCTTATAGCTGTCAGGGAGAGAAGAACTATTACAGTCGACTCAAACACTAAAACACCATGGCAAGGAACGCAAATGTACTTTGCATAATCGCTTCAGGTGAGGAGATTGTTCTGATGCAAATGACCTGTACATTTTCATTTCACCAAAGCAGCGATAGTCAACGTGGACGAGATAAGACCGGTCAGACTGGACTGTTTAGAATCGCAACTTAACTCAAAATGTGGAAACGGCACATAGAAAGGAAAGCAAACAGACTGAAAAGTAAACTCACCTCATGAGTAGTAATGTTGTATTAGAGTGCATCTGTTTTAACAGGGTGGACCTAGTAACTCTCATTTTGCTGCTCTACCTTATTGAAAGCTACTAAAACAAAAGGAAAGATGCGTCCAATTGAGTTTCAAAGCAGCATTATTTCCCATTATAATCATGACAGTTAATCGATAAATGAGCTCTGTGAATTGACTATGAAGTCTTAATTAAAGGTGGCGTTTTTCACTAATGAATAGCTTCAACTAAAAGAAGATGGGACTAGGTGTTAAGCCAGGTAGGCTACAGATGTGAGAGCAGAGAGAGAGAGAGAAAAAAAAAAAAGTAGCGTGCCTGCCATCGACCAATGAGATTTATCCATCTGTGCCATGAGTCACACTGTGGAGTGTTTCTTGATAAATGTCTCAAAGTAAACACGGGTCAGTGAGTCAGCTTGCAAAAGTAATCTCCTCTCTAAAGAAAGGAATTCACTCCCTGTTTTATACAAAAACACTATCAGGGCTGTAAACCTCTGACCTGTATCTGACAGGGCCATTTGTGCCGCTGTTCGCCGCGCTCTACTGTACATTCATGCTGAAACGCAAACCCTACTCGTGTTATTCCACCTGTTTACGCTGCCGTTCGCCGACTTAGTGCCGGAGAAAATATTCCAACATGGAGGCGGGGATTATGTGAAGTCTCGTCTAGATTTACCGGCTCGTGTATCACACGCCGTTCGCTGCCCGACATCCTGCAGAGAGCTGAGCATGTCAAGCCAATGTTTGAGTCAGGAGATGCTTCCCAAAGGCAGCGGAGTCAGATGTCATGCATTTATCTGTGCAGCTCCTACCAGGAAATTTGGCTTTGCCTTGCTGCACAGAGCAGCTGTGTTCAAAAGGCCTTTCACAGACAGATATTAAAGGATGAGAAGGAGAAAAGAAGGGGAGTGAGAGGGGAAGTGAAGGGATTGGCATCAAAACGCGTGCGCTCTGTTATGAAAGTGCCGCCCTGTGTGTGTCAGCTGTCCTAAAAGCAGAGATCTCTCGCTTAGAGGACAGAAGTTGACTTAAACAGCTCTTTACAGTCATGCTCTGTATCCTCATCAATCCCTTGCTTTTTAATGGCACCCTACTCGCTCCCAATACTGTACACCATACTGCCCATATTAGGAACGAGCCCGCATGTACAGTATGCACTGTCATAACATCTGAGAGAAAGGGGTGGGGTTGGGGGGGTGTAAGGGATTTTCCTCCATGCTCATGTAGAGCCGTTATTATTATGTAATGAAAAGTAACAGCGTTATCTCCCTCTGCTCGAGGCCAACAGCTGGTAGTAACGGAGTCTGCAGGGAGCAGGAGCAGAGGAAAAGATTCTGTGTGCAGCTTTCTCCAAAAAATATCAGCACTGCAAAAACTGTCCTTTCTGTGCTGCATGATTCAAGGAGCCGCCTTTTTTGGTTTTACCTTGAACACAAATATAACAAAAACTGAACTTTCCCCAAGTGCTTATGCTCTGCTCTACTCGCATGTGATGAGGCTCAAGGGTAGCTGTCATCAGCTAAAAGAGCTCCGGCGGTAGGACAACGTATTCACAGCTCTGACACTTAAAGAAAGAAGTGTTAAAACTCCAACAAGTGTTTTCACAAATGCCGCCCAAGCACACGCAAAATTTGACAGTGCAACTGTGGCTTAATGAGATTTGCAACATTTCTTCAGGCTAAAACCACGTTAGCAACCCAGCAACTGAAAAAGGGTGAGCAATTTCCTCCATCCGCACCACAAACGGTGCAGAGCATGACGAACATAACAGTATGTAAGCTGATATTCTTGATATAACACAGACAGTGCAGAAAAACTAAACTGATGAGGTTACTGCTTGCCAACTTTAAACAATATATAACAAGCTATATAATGATAGTAAAGCTGCCATTTCTCCACATTAGAAGGAGCCAGTTGAGGTGGGAATCTGGGCATCTCACTAGGATGCCTCATTGGACACCTCCTAGGTGAGGGCTTTAAGGAATGTAGGGACCCTGGGGGAAGTTCCAGGATATACAGGAGAGATTATTAATACTGCTATCTTGGGAACGCCTCATTCTCCAGAAGAGTGGACATATTGGATGTTGAATGTGGAACTGCCAGGAAGGAGGAAAAGAGGAAGACAACAGAGAAGATTCATGGATGTAGTGAAAAATGACATGCAGGGGGCGAGTGTCACAGAGAGGACACTGGGGATAAGATGAGATGGAGGCAGATGATCTACTGAAGAAGAAGGCAAGTATTTCCTGGTTAACAGTTATCGCAGATATCGGCGCATCTCCAATATTTATACTTAAAATACTACTGTTCTTTGAAAACTAAGTTTATTTTAAGAGAAAGTGAGTGCAGCTTTTATGTGTAACAGTTCTCATCCTTCCCATAGTTTATGATTTGCAGTAGAGCTTCCTGTGATGTTCTGGATGATCTCTTAAGAGACAAGTGCCACTTTGTTGCGACAGCCCCGTCCTGACTTCACCCTACCAGCACACGTAATAAAATAAAAATAGGGAAATACAGCATTTACTCAACAGCATACGTTTATCAACTTACTGGCAAAGTCCGCCTGCAAAACATAGCTCAGATTTTCTTTGGCAAAACGAGAAACGAGCTGCCAGGAACAAAGAAAGCCTCCTCTACATTTGAACTCGTAGTAGGTGAGCAGGTACACAAGCAGCTCTGAGCAAGAAGCTTCTTCTTTCTCTCCCAGCTGCTCACTTCTCTCTTATCTGGTTGTGTGAAACTGTACTCTCTGCTACACACAGAAATGCAGTCTCCATGCACTACACAATCAGTATGCACATTTAAAAAGGATTAAATGAATAAATATTACATTTTGTCGTGCACTCTGACTACAGCTCACCAAATCATGGCACGTGCAGATCACTGAAGCACTTGTAACCCAAAGTTAAACTACAGAAAAAGCCAGAACGGAGAGAGAGCATCAGGGTCAAAAGGGTGAAAGAGGGCGTACAATGTTAGCTTCAGAGAGCTCTTTGTTACAGGCGCAGGCAGAGAATGGCATTGTGGGATTGAGGCCCTGCTTTGTAAAAAGCTCTCTGGGCGATAAGTGGCCTGTGCCAGCCTTCCACTGCACGTATTTACCACTGCACCCTTCTCCAACTCACGGGTGTTAGTGAGCAAACCGCCTTGTACAGGAAGACAATAGCCCACCAGTTTGGAGGATGCTGTGAGGGTGGGGGTGGGTGTTGGAGGGTGAAACATCACCACAGCCAAGTGTTTCAGTGCTGCATCCTGAAACAAAGTCATGGCCTTGAACAAGCAGCAGTTTCAGAAGTATAAAGTAACTCCTTTGGTTTAACGCACAGGTCTGAATGTGGTCATCACCTGTACTTCCAGTGCAATCGAGTGTCATTTTGTAGACCCAAAGGGCAATAAATCCTTCATCAAGAGTGCTTCAAGCAGCCACTGTGTGGACTTTCACAGAAACCCAACACTAATGGCACTTTCCTTTCAGCCCATCAACCCGAGATGCCATTTGAACAGCCTCACTTCTCGCTAACTGCCCTTTAACTCCGCTCTTCTTGCGTTTATTTTTTACTGGACCCTTCACACAGACCATTTCCTCGATTCTCCAGGACCAAAAAAGTTCAAAGAGAGCTGCACAAAATGAGCAAAAAGACGACACACAAAAGCTGTGAGATTATTGGCGATGTCTCAGACTGTTATGCTGCCAAAATGTCAGGTAACAATGGGACACAGCACAAAGCAGAGCTAATGATGGGTATGCTTTGCACGCTTCAGGTCCAGCGTGACCTCCTGAGAGGCTGGTGGCCCCGGCAGCAAACCAGAAGAGTCATAATGTTTTTAAACAAAGTCCCACATTTCTTTCTTCCTCTTTGTCTTTCTTATCAGACCTAGGAGTGTAATTTCTGTAATTTTTCTAAAGCCGGCACCTCAGTTTTGTTCACATGCAGCTCTTCTGCACTTTGAATGAGTGACAGTACATATAAAAACATCCTGTTTGGTCACCTAGGTGACAATACATCCTGTCACCGCCTGTTGTCTTTGTTCCCCAACACGTTTTCCAGCACGGCTTCCACAACAAATGCATGCAATACCCTGAATGTTTTCAATGCTTCCGTCAGACACAGGGTTGCATAACCTTGCTGGCTTCATCAGTCTTTTCAGCCCTGCAGCATGCAACAGTCCCCTGTGGATGCATCCTGCTGCTGTCTGATACAAAATAAAAGTTTCATAAGATAATTTTCTTTTTAAAATTAAATTGACTTTTTTTTTTTTTCTTTAGTTGGATCTCGTCAGAAGTTTATTTGTAAAGTAAAACTTCATTTCTGATCCTCACAAAAGTGCAAAATAACGGACGGCTGGCTTAGCCTCAACTTTATATCGGCAAGAAAGTTTGAAATGCACTGCACAGCTGGTTGTATGGACAACGAATGGGAAGCATAGAGCAGATATTTTGATATTAGCTTGACTGCTTTGAAACCTGCACATGTAGGTTACTCAGAGGTCATCAGATTAATGGAAAAGAATGTGTGTG